AGTGGAACCGTCGGGCTGGGCGGTGGCATCGCCCAGAACCCGAAGGATCGGGTGGTGGTACTGTCGGACTCCGAGAGGTCCGGCGGTGGCACTACGGGACTGGGCGGTGGCATCGCCAGTACACTATCAGTGTCAGACACTGACAGGCAGTGGCACCGCCAGCATCGGGAACCCAAAAGTAATTCAAATTTAGAGCCCAAATTTGAATCCTCTTGGGGCCTATAAATACCCTTCAATTCTCAGAAGAGATAACAACCTTCGAGAAGTTAGAGATTGAGATAAAGCCTTAGCAAAGTCTTTAGCAAGTCTTGTTTTTAATAGCTTAAGTGTTCACCTCCCTCTTTCTCTTTGAAAATCTATAAGAGTGTGAACCACTTGTAAAAGGTTGTAAGAGGGGTATTTGTCCTTCCCCTTCAAAGTAATTTGCTAGTGGAAGTTGGGAGCCTCATCGAAGAAGGCTTCGCAAGTGGATGTAGGTCATTTTGACCGAACCATTTTAAATTAGTATGTTCCTTGAATGTGAGTATTTAACTTTCTTAAACTGTTATTTACATAGCAGCAAGCTTTCGATTTTTATCTTCTCACTTTACTCAAGCTACTTTCACCAAGTCGTTCATTGTCGAATCGAAATCTCTACGCATTTACAAAATCATTTTCAAACTTACGAGTTTTAATCCGCTGTACTAATTCACCCCCTCTCCCCCCCCCCCTTCTTAGGTAAAGCCAAGTAAGGTAGTTTGCACGAAAGATAAACAACAAAACAAAAATGTAAACCGTTTTATAGTAGTTCGGTCGTCATGACCTATATCCACTCCACTGATACCTCTACCGTTAAGGCTACCAGCATCCACTAACGATCTTCCTTCAATGGGCGAAGATCAACTACCCTTATAACTCGATTTTCCTTTTGACAGGTTTAGGAGAGAACTTTTGCAACCCTCACAACCTCCTCTCTTAAGCTTCTCTAACACTTTGAGTTTGAGAGGAGTTCACACAAGATTACAATAGCGTTTTCTTTCTTTTTCACTCTCAATTCTTGTGTAAGTTAACCAGGGATGAAAGGGGTATTTATAGGCCTCAAGTAGATTCAAACTTGGAGCCTAAAAAGATCACATCTCGGGTTTCCCGAGTCCTGGCGGTACCACCACCTGAGAGACTGTGTCTGGGCAGTACCACTGCCTGACAGTCTTGGAGACTGAGTCTGTTGGGAAATCTGGGGGGCGAAATCACATGCGCAGCGAAAGAACAAGAAAACAAAATCCCCTATTCCCAAAGAGATGTTCGTCGTCGTGTAAAGATTAGTGCGCAAAATCCGCGAAACTTAAAACTGCATATAGAGTTGATTGTGTTACCTAAGGAGATTGTATATCCTTATTTCCTTACAGATCTTTAGGAGAGAGTGAAGGAGGTCAAGCGTCCTCCTCTTTAGCGATGATCCACACAGCAGGGCTGCAACAACGCTCCTCAAAACTCCAAGCCTACTCTAAGGTGGAGAGGGGGAGGAGAATAGGAGAGGCAAGCAAAGGCTCTAGCCTATGAGGCTCTGAATCCCTCTTATTTATAGAGGTCTATTGTCAAAACCTAATGGATCATCCCCTAGTGGGTATTGGATCTATATCCAATTACCCAAGTCTTTTAGATTAGTAGATCTCTATCCAATAATCTCTTATGGGCTCTTATTGGATCTCCTCCATGGGATCCAATAATTCAGAGGCTTATTGGATATCTAATAAGACAGGGGCTCCGACGGATATCTCATATCCGAACCTCTACTCATCGCAATACTTACCATATATGTGTGACCCTCTAGGCCCAATATCGAGCTTATCGTGAGTCATATCTGTCAAAACTCCTTCTAACTTAGTGAATTATTATCTCTATAATGATTCACTCAACTCATTGACTACGGACGTACTAGGTCACTACGCCGTAGTCCCTAGACAATACAGGGGAATCTAATCCTTTGGACATGTTTGTCCTCAATTATCATGTACCTATAGTCCCTCATCCATCTAATATTCCAGAGACCATATATCGAGCATGGTACTGCCAGACCCATACGGTTTGTACTCGAGTCTCGCTCTAATCGGATTCTCCCGGAGAACTCTTTCTCTCTCAACCCGAATGACCCTGGCTAGGGATTTGTCTAAGCAATAACACATAGGATATTCCTCTTATGACACTAAGAGTGGATGATCATCTATCAACACTCAATAGCCCTCGTAAGGTCGACTGTCACTCCCAATGGCCAGTTGTACTAGATCTGGGACAACCAAACCTATAAGTCTGGTATCAAAGAGTGGAGCACTTATACAGGACATCCTTGATAACTCAAGTCTAAGGACCAGATATACCACTAGGACTATAGAATTGTTGTCTAATAATAAGGCATCATCAACCATCCAGCATTCCATAAGCGGATCAATTAGTGAACTCATTCTCCAATGAGCACTTGTACTATATCCCTAGTGTCCCCACACGAGCAGCTATGAGACCAGCTACATCCATCATATGGACAGGTATACAGCACACCAATCTGTCTGGTTATCACGATGTCCCTCTCGAGTAACCAATGATCAGAATTATTTAGGATCTGTGTTTAAAGGTGAATCGGTCTCATTATTGTGATCTCATCACGATTTGATTCCCATTACACGAATCCAAGGACATCACAATATATACATGCATATATGCAATAATCAATATAAAGTGATAAATGCCATATAATAAGCAAAAAGATTATGTGTCAAGTCACACGTGCCATCACTTACGTGATTGGCTTGTTGGGCACCTATGACTAGCAGAGTCTGGGTAGTACCACCGCCCAAACCGATGGTACCACCGCCTGACACAATCTCGGAGACTATACCACGATGGTTCCACTTGTTGGGTCACTATTTTGGCCTTTCATTGGGCCCAACACGGTCCATACATAGGCCCAACTGACCCCTAATTGGATTGGCCCAATTTTAATCTCAATTATATGTTAATTACGAAATTTAAGGCATACACTAAGCAAATTCGGTCTGGTTAGTCTAGGTTTCTTCCGATGAGCTTCCGATGATCTTCCGACGAACTTCCGACGATCTCTCAGCAATGTTCCAATGGACTCTCGGCAAGCTCCTAGACTTCACGACGATCTTCTTAGCGAGTTCCGACGAGCTTCTTCGGCAAGCTCTTGGACTTCTCGGTTAATTCTGGCAGAACTTTCGACGAATGTCCGGACTTCCAACGAACTCTCAAACTCCGAACGAAGTCTTATTCTTGACTCCAGGACTTCATTTTGCTTTATGCCTTGATCATTATCATAGTTAATCCTACACAAATAAAACCTACTTCGATTTAGACAATTATTACAAAGCTTAAATCATGATGTTCGGCATGTCATTGGTTCATCGATGCTTCGTCCAATTCTTCGGCGCATCATCCTCTCTTGCGGCCTATTGCCCAATCGGCCAATTGACCTCCGCAACTTTGATTTCCCTGGCATAATTTCTACTCTTCTTGGCACGATGCCCAAACTCATGGCCTGAAGCCTTCTGCCGATATGTCGCTTGATCCTCCGGCTCGACGTCCAATCTTCTGACATGTTTCACTCCGGCCCAACATGATTCTTCCTGCTTTTAATTGTCTCTCCCAGATCAAAGTTTCCTACGTCACTCAAAACGCAGATAAGATAAACGCTATCAATTGGTTTTATCATCAAAATTCGAGATTCAATACTATGCATTAGTCTATGGTCAAACGAATTTTGTAATATGTTAAAGGGACATCTAATCATGCCTTTGTTAATGTTGATTGGGTAGGGAACTTTGATGATAGAACATCCACGTCGGTATATTATTTTTCTTAGAGCTAATCCAATCGGTTAGAGTTCTAAGAAGCAAAAGATAGTTGCATGGTAAGCTGAATATCGTGCCATCACCACTATTACTATAGAACTCAATTAGGTCACAAATTTGCTTAAGGAACTTAATGTCAACTCTACCCTTACTCCTACAATATATTTTGATAATATTTGAACTACATATTTATATGCTAATATAGTGTTCCACTCACGCATGAAATACATTGCCATCGTCTTCTATTTCATAGGAAATTGAGTTGTCAGACATTAACTACATGTGTCTCACATACATATGGCTGATCAACTAGTAGACTCACTCACAAAGTCTTTCGCTCATAAATTATTTTTATTGCATCGGTCCAAGATTGATATCCTTGATAGAAACTAAATTTTATAGGGATATAATAGCAGATAAGATTTATGTAACTGTACGATGTAATCATTCGATTAAGACGTGTATAAATAAATATTATATTTAATAAATTCGATCGAAGTTTTGTAATTACATTCAATCTTATCGATAACTGACAGCTTGGTGGCAGACAGCATCAGCATCAGCATGTACTTAGAGCTAGGAAGAAGCAAAAACTTTGGCCACATTAGCAAGGCTGTGAGAGCACATCAAAAGCTGACTTCCAAGCACATAGCTTCTTCTCACGCCATTCCAAGATTGTGCCCAGCTTTGAAGAAAGATGAGACATTTCTGGGGGGCGTTCATGAAGTGGACCTGTTGCAGTCACCATTAAATCCCCCCACGTTCATGAATTCTTTACGACAACGTGCCTCAACCAACACTCAACCTCCCCCTACCACATACTGAGCAGTCAACGATGCACACGTTTTTACCCACCGTTCCAGCTATATAATGTTTACCGGCACATTTTAATCTTATGCAACTCGGATTTATATGGATCCGTCCCCTATTTCATATTGCATCCAATATAAAAGATTTTATGAAAGCAAAGAAATCATCATTACAACTTACGAAGATAATGCGCTCATTTTATTGATGCTGTACTGTTATTACAATCAGACTAACCCATTAAGATCATTATGGCGTGACTGTTGGCCATACGATAAACCTGGTGTTTTATTTATTGTCTTATCTTCGACCGGCGAATCATTCTTTATGGTCGGGTCGGGTCGGGTCGGTTCAGCTCCTCCCTGAGCCGGGCCGGGGAATGCGGAGCGTCGCGCCCGCCACGGACCCCGCGGCCTTGCACGAGCCGTACAAGTCGAAGAGCGCGAACCAGCCGACGAGCGCCGCGACCTTCCGCCGGACAGCGACCGCGCCTCTGCATCTGTCGTCGGCGCCGTCGCCCTTGGCAGGCGGGGGGCCCTTGGCGCACTCGGCGAGGGCGATGGCGAACGGGTCGGCGGCGGGACAGTCCGTGACGGGGAGGGAGCGGAGGGGTGGCGGGCGCGGGAGGGCGGGGCGGGCAGCGGGGAGCGCCTTGGGGTTCTTGGCGATGCCGGGGCGGTGCTCCCACGAGAAGGGGACAGCGGAGGAGCAGAGGGAGGGCGAGGAGGCGGCGACGGTGGAGAGGGAGCGAGAGCGGGAGCGGCGGTGGCGGCGGCGGCGGATGCGGCAGGGGAAGATCTCCAGCGGAGATCCTGCGGCGGAGGAGTCGGCCGGGGACGATTCCTTCATGGCGTCGCCGCCTGAGCGGTGAATACGACGAGCGAAGTGGCGGAGATGGATGGATGGCGTGGGAATTTAAACGGGCGACGCTTCGTTGAGATTCGTGCTTCCGTTGATGTGGAATGGTATCGTTGTCGTTCTGTGTGTATTCTTTTGACGGGCCACTAGTGACGACACAATAATGATAATGGATAAGGAAAGACGCCGCTCTTGTTCTTCCTCACAATAGCAAGGAAGGCGTTTAGAGTTGTCGTTAAAAACAGATTCAGAATATTTTTCCTTCAATTAGAAGAGTAACCGAGAAAGAGATGTAGTCTCGGGCGAACGCAGAGCTCATGTTGAGCATATATAGGGGTTTAGTGGAGGACAGTATATAGACAAACAAAGATTGAGGGTTTATGTAATAGTTGGGTGCTATAGGAAAAAAACCATTTGAAAAGAATAAAATACATAAAATCCCAAATTAACGATAATAGATTCATCCAATTTTATAAATCTATTTAAGTTTTGCCTGCAACTTGAACGGAGATCCTCCCAAATATATATATATATATATATATATATATATATATATATATATATATATATATATATATATATATATATATATATATATAT